CGAAGTGAATCTGACACTCAGTTCCCTTCTCTTTTCTAGTCAGGACCCCAACCCATTGAATGCTGTTGCCCACACTTAGGATGGGTTCTCCCACTTCAACAGAACCCAATCTAGACACTTCCTCACCGACGTACCCAGAGGTTTTTCTCCTAGGGAGTTCTAAACCCTGTCAAGTTGACAATCACTATCAAGCACCACAGTGTATTAGTTACTTTAACACTGCTGCGGACGTAAGACCTGCTAGAAACAGCTTAAGGGAGGGATTACTGATTTTGGCTCACGGTTTCCAGAGAGTTCAGTCCCTCATGGTGGGAAGGTGTGGGAGGGTAGCTCAGATCATGGCAGCAGGGGCGTGTGGTGGAGGCTGCTCCAATCAGAAAACAGAGAGTGTCACAGAAACAAGGACCTAGTGACACTTTCCATGGCCCACCCCCAGGGACCTGCCACCATTAGCCAGACACCACTTCCTAAATGTCCCCGTCTCACAAAAATCACAGCAGCCAGGATGGAGCATTCAAAACACAAGCCTTAAGGGACATTTCAGCCTCAAACCACAATGGTTGGACCTGGGAATCTGTATTAAAAACATCTCCAGGTGATTTGGCCAGGGGTAGCTTTGCAGGACCCTTGAAGAGCATGGCCCTCAGAAAGCTCCTTCGTTCTCCTGCTACTTGGGGATTTCAGTTTCCAAATCTCCGTAGCTCAGGGTGGTCAAGTCTTCCTCTTTTGTGACATGTTAAGAGGCCTCCCTGTTAATTTATGTGAGCAACTTCATTCTGCATGAAAGAAAATTACCACTGATTGTGGTGTTCAGCTCTCTGTCCCTTGGAACAGCACACCCGAAAAAACTCACTCACAGCAGGAAACCGCTCGTTCACGGTCTAAGGTTTCAATCCACAGCTGCCTAGCTCCATTGCTGTTCAGCTGCGGTGAGGCTGGACATCAGGACTGAAGGGGGGCGGGGAGCTGCATGCCTCATGGCTGCCAGGAAGTGGTGGGAGTGGAAGATACAAGACACACCTCAGAGCCGTGAGCTGGTAAGATGGCTCAGCACGTACAAGGAGAGAAACTGATCTGTCAAAGTCAGCTCCATTTGTCAACTGGACACAACCAGGAAAGGTGAGCCTCCCTACAGACTATTCTCAGCCCAGCAGATGACACGGCCGTCTTGAAACCTTATCTAAGCACATCACTCCTCTTCAGAGTTTTCAATTCTTCCCACATCTTACGATAAAAACCCGAGACTCTGCTGGGACTTGACATGTCCGGCTTCCGCCTCCACAGCTGTCTTTAGTCGATTTAGCACTGAACTTCCCTGATCTTCCCACAGGTTAGTCACACTGTGCGCTTGCACATTCTGCTCCTTTTGTCTGAACGTGTTGCTGGTTTTTTTTTTTCAAGTAGGGATTTTCATGACTAACCCCTTTGCTACTTTAAACATTTTATCCAAATATTTGGCAGTGGTTGGTACATAACGGGAAATCATTTCATGTTTGCCGAGTTTCTCAATACCAGTGTTCTCTGCCCTTCTGTGGGAAGGATAGACTCATTTGCTGGGTACCGTCCCTTCTGTTTACTTCTCTCCAAGGCAATGATTGTGGAGTCTGGTAGGAAAGTTTAAAATTGATTCCTAAGAAAACACCTTGTCTCGCGCTCAGAGATCCATGTCTTAAGTGTGAGCCCTGATTTTTTTTTTCCTCTTATGACAGCTGTTTTCTGACAGCCGTCTCCTGGTGTGACTGCCCTCCACTTCCAGGCACACTCCTGTGTCGCCAACGCCAGCTCTGGATTACATTCCCATAGTCGGCTGCCGACCGCTTCCTGACAGTGTGTTAAGCTTTGAGAGCAGAAAGCAGCGCAGCCGGGACGAACACACTATCTAAAGGTGCTTTCCTCCGCCAGGTTCTGTCATCTCAGCACTTAAGTAGCTGAGGCAGGAGGATCATGAGTTTGGGGCAAGCCTGGGCTACACGGCAAGAACCTGTAGCACAAACAAAAGAAGACAAAAATGCTGTTCCCAACCACGACAAACAAACAGCACATGAAATGAAACTACAAGGAACGACCGAGTGGAAGACTTGGTTGGAAATGTGAGAATTTTCCTAGCTTAAGCACGCTGCTGCAAGTCAGCACTGTCCCTTTGAACAGGACATGCACCCCGAGCTTTCAGTGGGACAGAGGGCTAAGAATATCTCCATGCTGTAGCCTAACAGCACCCCTTGATCTATGGTCCTAACCAGCACATGGCTCCTCCACACCTTGTCATACACACTACATTGAACTAAATCATGTGTTGTGAAATATCCTACCAGCCCCGCCCCCAAACTTATGAGTCTGATATTTCCTTTGTTCTTGGGGTTTCCTTGGGTAGGGGGAAGTTCTGTGAAGGCTGTACTCTGAAAAGGCTCCTCTGCCCCTGCCATCCTGGCTAGGGTGTCTGTCTGTCTGTCTGTCTGTCTGTCTCTCTCCCTGTCTCCTATTCTCACCCTGATGAAGCTCCTCTATAGTTCTAGAGCAGTGGTTCTCAACCTTCCTAATGCTGTGACCCTTTAATATAGTCCCTCATGTTGTGATGGCCCCCAACCATAAAATTATTTTGTTTTACTTTATAGCCATAATTTTGCTATTGTGAACCCTAATGCAAGTATCTTTGTATTCTGATGGTCTTAGGCAAACCCCATGAAAGGGTCATTAGATGCCCCCCAAATGGGTTGCAACCCACAGGTTAAGAACTGATGCTCTAAAGGAAAGCCCCTGCTTCATTTTTTAAAAATGAAATGCTGCTAAATGTTTGCTATAGCTATCATTTTTTATTATTCCTATTATTTAATTCCATATTTTCATTATTTGTGTATATGTACAATTATCTACATTCATCTCTCTCTCTATGTGTATATATATATATATATATATATATATCATATACCATATGCAAGAAAAGAAAGTTAAATACATAAATGTAAATAAGCACCATGCATACACATATACATTCACACGTGTTTAGGTATTTATTGATTTTCTGTTACTTCAGGTCAATTTCTTCTTCTTCTTCTTCTTCTTCTTCTTCTTCTTCTTCTTCTTCTTCTTCTTCTTCTTCTTCTTCTTCTTCTTCTTCTTCTTTAAAGATTTACTTATATTTTGTGTTTTGTCTGCATGTGTGTCTGTGTGGGCAGTGCCTGTGGAGGCCAGAAGGGAGCGTCCGATCACCTGGAGCTGAAGCTACACACTGTTGTAAGCTGCCATGTTGGTCCTGGGAACTAAACTCAGGTCCTCTGGAAAAGCAGCCGGTGCTCTTAAGCATGGAGCCATCTCTCCAGCCCCCACAGATTAAGTTCTTATCTGTTCTGTCACCTTGAATTCTGATCCTCCTTGCTCTTAACATCATGTTTATACAACACTCTGAGCTCGGTCTGTATTTCCTGGTTTCAGCATTTTGACTGTGCAGTTATTGTTCACGGCAGAGCAGAGCAACGGCCATTCCTAACTTTCTTATCCTAGAGGGGTGGCTCAGAGCTCGACTGGCTGTTTGAATCCAGGTTGGTATGATTTCAAATCCCCTCTCTATTCTTTTCTTCCTATATAATGGAGGCATCAATCACAAGGAAATGGTAAATATTGAGTGAGCTAATATGCATAAAAGGAATTCAAACCTTAGTGACATACCTTTTACTAAGAAATGTTCCATAAAATATAAACAAATGGCTCTGGTTGTTATCTGCTTTTTCATTTCCTTGGTGTCCAGGTTGCCTAATTGCTTCATTGACTTTGAATCTTTGTTCTTTATCAGCTGCATGAAACATTTCTCATAGCATCTCCCTCATGTTCCACTTGCCATACAGCCAGTGTGGCTTGGGGTTTGTGTCAGGTGTTGGTAGTTATGACAAACAGGGGGAGACACCCGCCCCCCAACGATCCTCTCTCTACCCAACTTTACCAACAGAGGCTTCCTGTCAGATGTTGCTCTAACTGGGATGTGGTCTGGCCCCCAGTGGTGTGTATGTGTTTTTGAAACATGGCCCTCCGTGGGCCCACATTGAGGTGGTGAACCTGGTTAAGTCCTTGCCTACAGTTATGGAGGTCCTGTATCCAGCCCTCTCAGTGTAAAGGTTCACTAAGAGGTGATTGGATCACTGGGGACTCAGAAGGGATTAACTAATTCTTGTGGGACTCGTTATTCCCAGTAGAATGAGTTATTGCAAAAGAGCAAAACTTATCCCACAGTGAGTTAAGTGCTTGTCTTGCAAGCACAAAGACCTGAGTTTAATCCCCCAGAATCCGCATTACAAAGCTAGACAGTGGCTCATGCTTGCCATTCCAGCATAGGGGAGGGAGGTCAAGACAGGGATCCCTGGGGCTCTCCATTCAGTCGGTGTAGCCTAATTAGTGAGCTATTATTTCAAACGGGGTAGGCAGTATTTCTGAGGAGGACACCTGAGCTTTCACTCTGGTCTCCATGCACATATGTGCATGCACATCCCTGTGCCCACACACGCGCGTGCGCACACATACACACACACACACACACACACACGTACACACACACACACACACACACACACACACACACACACACACACACGTGCATAAATTTTAGAAATGTAGAAAGCCAATTCTGACCGCTCCCATTCTTTCTAGCTTCCTGCCTTTCTCTCTGGTCTCTTCTTCTCTGCATCCCTCTTCAAATTTCACCTCCCATGATGCCACATAGCTCAAGAGATCTTTGACAGACTGGGTAATCGCTGGCACCATGTTCTTGGCCCTCTCAAACCACAGACCTTCCTTCTTTATATCTCACCTAACAACAGATGTTTTTGTTACAGCAGCGAAAACACAATGTATAAATGTGCTGCAAAGCTCTTTGCACGGGTGCTGTCCTCCCCAGCATCCCGAATTCCCCTCGTCACTGTCTGTGTTAATATCCTTCCTTCCTAAAGCCTACATTTCCCAGTTCTTACTACAACTCCTTGCCTGAAGACCAAACATTTTCCTGTGGTTTCTAGAAAAGATTTGAACAATGATAAATGTAAGTATATTTTGAGATTCTATTAGGAGGAAGAAGGAGGGGGAGGAGGGGAGATGAAGAAATCCCTTTATTTTATTCTTCTACCTGATTGATAGTTTGGTTGGACACAGAATTTCAGGTTGAAAAATAGTTTTAAAAATTTATTTCAGTTTTATTTTTTTGAGACTTTCACACATAGGTATGTTATTTACATCTTTTCTGCCTCTACCTCTCCTCCTCACAACTTCCATGTCTCTTCTCAAATTCATGACCTGTTCATTAATTATCATTGTTATACACACACATATACAACACACACACACACACACACACACACACACACACACACACACACACACACACGATAACAGATTCATTGAGTGTTTCTCACATGCATATGTGTTCAGGGCTAACCACTGGGACTGGATAGCCTACCAGGAGGCTGATCTCTGTAGAAAACCGATTCCCTATCTCTCAGCAGCCATTGATCTCTTAATCTAAGTGTGGAGCCTGGGGAAATTTCTCCTATCACATCAGCAAGTGCCGTTCTTGTGCAGATCTTTTTAGGCAACCACATTGTTGGGATTTCATGGGTGCTGCATCGCCACCACACTTAGATGACACTGTCCAGCAGCAGACGTCCTGGTCCTGTTTTTAAAACACATTGGTCTTTTAGCCTCCAATGCTACTGTTAAGAAAGCCAGCTGCCACTTTAGTTCCAGTCTTTCATCTGACATCCGATCTATTTTTTTCCTCCAATCTGGAACCATCTAGAAACTTCTCTGAGTCAGTCAAGGTTAACTGTTTCAAATGAAGTCTCCTATTTCCTTATTTTCCTCATCTTTCTCTTTGTTATCTAATTTCTAGAAATGTCCTTGATTTTGCCTTAGAAATTTGTATTAAAAGTTTTTTTAGCTGTCATATTTTTTATTCCAAAATGATGCCATTGCTCACAGCAGCACATTTAGTTTGTGATGAGCACACACCTGACCTAAATCATCTCCTTAGAGTTGATACTGAGTCTGCCAAAGGATTGTTTATAGCTAACGGTACAATAAAAATGCTTGTACATTTGTCTGTCACAACCCCTCTAACAGGACAGTGCAATGTCTCAAAC